CTATACCGCGGTGAGAATTTATTCACTTTCACTGTATATCACTATACCGCGGTGAGAATTTATTCACTTTCACTGTATATCACTATACCGCGGTGCAAAATATACCGGGACACATTTTATTAGCAATCTTTTTCAATGTATTTATATTCAAAAATAAATCAAATGGAACGTTTAAATTCCAACAAAATATAATTTTGTTCATATAAATTCATTAAAGTTTTCTGAAAAAAAAATTTGAAATCTTTGTAAGATTAAAAGAGCAAAAAAAAAAAAGTTGATGTGAAGAGAATCTTCCTAGCAAACATCAGAAAATCTACTAAATATCAAAAATGGGGGAACTGGTTTTGCTAAAAAGAAGAAGAAATGTAAAAGCAATGACTATCTTTATCAGTGATAAGATTCGTATCATTTGTATGAATGGTGTGCAGTGAGCAGAGATAAAATAAACTAGCTATTTTGTAAGCATTTATGGAATTCTATAACTTTTGTATTTGTTTATAGCTTCAGAATTTACTCTCTAATTATGCTTTTATTGATAATACATTTCCACCTACAAATGCTTCTTATCAAATATCCATTTTGACCTGTAAACATTCTTATCAAATTTGCATTTTGACCCTCTAAATATTCTTGTCAAATTTACATTTTCACCTATTCCCTTCTGATCTATAAATGTCCTGCTAAAATTAAAATTTGTAATTTGAATTAATGAAATTTTCATTTAATTAAATTATATGAATTTTCAGTTCGACAAGTAAATATATCATGAAACGATTATGGTTTATTACAATATTGGAGTATATTTTCAATTATCAAGAAATTTCCTCACATTTTACAAATCCTTCATATTCATCATTTACTATTGATTATCAAAATGATACATTTCTATTAGATGGTAAACCATTTAGGTAAACTATTTGAATTAATTCACAATTTTTTTTTTTATTTATTTCTTTTTATCAATTTATCAAATATCTTTTCTTCGTATGTAATGAATTTTTGATAAGAATAATGATAACAATGATATATGTGTGATAAAATATTTTCTTCACCTATTTTCATTTAACAGTCATTATTTCATATATTATTGTTAAAATTTTAAATGAATACATTTTATATTTCTCCAAAAATTAACTTCTAAATATCAATAAATATATCAAATTATTGCTTATCAATCTGATATAACTCTATCAATGCAATTCGTCTGATTTCTCATTTTTTGTTATTCCTTCCATAGGTTAATTTCATTTATTATTTAGGTATATTTCCGGTAGCATTCATTATTTCCGGATTCATCCATACTATTGGAATGATCGATTACGACGAATTCGAGCTGCAGGCTTAAATACCATACAAATGTACATTCCATGGAATTTTCATGAAGTTTATAATGGAAGGTTTGTTGTTTTACCTGTTAGAGGTGACATATCTATCACTTTGTATGGTTGTTTTACCTGTTAGAGGTGACATATCTATCACTTTGTATGGTTGTTTTACCTGTTAGAGGTGACATATCCTATCACTTTGTATGGTT